CTCTGACCTCATCAGTGGATTAATCCATTTAAAGGATCAAGAATGTGAATGGATCACCGAGTGGTAACTGTAGGCAGAGGTGATGTGGCTGGAAGAAGTGGGTCACTGGGAGTGTGCCCTTGGGGATTACGTCTGGTCCCTTGTTCTCTCTCTGCTCCTGACTGCCATGAGCTGAGAAGCTTCCCTTCACCAGTCTTCTGCCACGATGTTTGCCTTATCTCAGGCCCATAGCAACAGTGTCCCCTGACCACAGACTGACCTCTGAGATCTTGAGGTCAAATAGAATCTTCCTGTGAATTGCTCGTCACACAAAGCTGACTATCCCATAAGTGAAGACCGTGCGAATGAGAACCAGAGAAGCTTGCTCTAAGGAGCCCAGCCTGATTGGCCGAGGCGGAGAGGCAGGCCACGGGGAGGCAGGCCACAGGGAGGCAGGCCACGGGGAGGCAGGCCACGGGGAGGCTTTAGGGAAAAAGAGAAGGTTCAGGGGAGCCCCGTGGCAAGGTCCCAGCAGAAGTGGCCCCGGAGCCCTGTGGGTTGGGCAGGGGAGGGTATTTGTCTTCCTCTGGTTGGTTCTGAAGAGGGGACTAGAATGAGGGAAGCTATCAGTGATGGATCAAGTCCAGCTGCTCTGGGCCACCCGCAGCAGAGGGTGTGGGGCAGGGTCTGCGCAGCACACCCAGCTGCTGCGTCCATGCTCAGCCTTGACTTGGGTCTGGAACACCCCCCATTCATCGTACCACTCGCACTCTTGGCATGAAGTTGTTGCAGTGTTCTCTTATGGCTCCGTCTTTAATATTGTCTAGAATGTTCTCTTGTGGCCAAGCATGGCTATCCATGTCATGATCCCAGTGACACGGGAGGATCGCAAATTCAAGGCCAGCTAGGGCAACTTCCTGAGACCCTGTCTCCAAGTAAAAGACAAAAGGCCGGGAGTGTAGCTCCATGGTAGAGCCCTTCCCTGCATGCACCTCAGTGACCGCTGCCGGAGGGAGGAGGCTTTTGGAGGCCAGGTGTGCCCACTCTGGACTGGGGTGATGTTTGCAGAGCATGCCTATGACCAATAAAACATAACTACGTGCAGTTCGTCGTCTGTCGTAATAAAGTTCAAGTGGTCTTTCTGAACTTGCTCTTGACCCAGTCACACGGGTGGGGCCCCCTAGCTCTCGGCTCTACCCTGTCCAGGAGCTGGACTCTGGGCTTGGCCCCTCTGCAGCTTCAGGCTTGGGAGGGACAGGCACCCTAAGAGGGAGAGGAGGAGGAGGAGGAGGAGAGGGAAGGAAGGAAGAGGAGGGGGAGGGGGACTAGGCTTCTGCATAGGCCAAGCTTAAGGTCCAGATGGAGTCCCTCAGGCCAAGCTCCCATCAGGACCTGAGCTACTGACCTGACCTTCCCGGAACCAGCCCTGGAGGAACAGCAGCCAGACCACACAGGCCACCCTCGACTGGCATGGATGGAGGTGTCAGGAGAGGCACCCGGGTCCTCTGGAGGCCGGCCGGTGGCTGCTTTCCTTGGCTGTCTCCCTGTCTCTGCGTTAGAAAGCAGCTTTGCAGGGATCATGGCTGTTCTGATGCCAGTTCTTTTCAGCCCTCTGTCTGGAACCCCTACCCCTACCCTTCCACTCAGTGCCCCCGACACGCACTCCCTCAGGCAGCGAAGGGCCACCCAGTCCAGGTTCCCGGTGCTCCCAGTCACCACGTGTCAGTTTCGGTTGGTCGACCTTTGACAGCCCCACAGAGCGCCCAGGGCACTCGGGGCCTTCAGTCCTCCACCTGCTCGCACAGCACTGACATTCAAGCCAGAGAACTCTTTCCTTTAAGTTCTTTTTCTTTTTCTTTTTGGTACCAGGGACTGAACCTGGGGTCACTTGATCACTGAGCCACATCCCCAGCCCTTTTTAAAAATTTCATTTTATTTAAAGACATGGTCTTGCTATGATTTGCTTAGCATCTCACCGAGTTGCTGAGGTGGCTTTGAACTTGCAATCCTCCTACCTCAGCCTCCCAAGCCATTGGGATTCCAGGTGTGCATCAGTCTTCGGCTAAGTTCTTTTCTTTCTCTTTGGTACTGGCACTGAAACTAGGGGCGTTGTACCACCGAACACACCCCTAGCACCTTTTATTTTTTGAGACAGGGTCTCACTGAGTTGCTGAGGCTGGCCTTGAACTTGTGGTGCTCCTGCCTCAGCCTCCCAAGTCACTGGTGTGTGCCACCACATAGAAGGGCAATTTCTTGATCTGATGAAGGGGGCATGTTCCTTTTTTGTTTTTTGGTGCTGGGGATTGAACCCAGGGCCCTGTGCATGCAGGGCAAGCACTCCACCAACTGAGCTATACCCCAGTCCGAAGGGGCATATTCTTTAAAAGGTATAGCAAAATAAAAACCCATAAAGTATAAGAGACATTTGGTCACACATGGGCAACCATGCACATATATGTATTCTTTGAAGCTTTTTTTTTCATGCCATTGGTTGATTTACAACCACATCTAGCCACTATGAATTCAAGAATTTGACCTTTTTTTTTTAATATTTATTTACATTTTAGTTTTTGGCAGACATAACATCTTTGTTTGTATGTGGTGCTGAGGATTGAACCTGGGCCGCGCCCATGCCAGGGGAGCACGCTACCACTTGAGCCACAGCCCCAGACCCTTGACCTGTTTTTTAAAGAGGTTTCACCTCTTGGAATATTCTTCCGATTTGTTCAATAGATGAATTGATGGATTAAAGTGTCTATTTCTTAAGTAGCTGGTGTCTTATTGTAAAAAATCACGCAGGAAATACAGACCCAGAGTTGTCGTCAGTAACTGCCACTTGTCTCTAGGCACTGCAGAGATGCAAGCCAGGACACCCCAACCCAGCTGGGTGCTGCTGTCCAAGCCCGACAAGAGGCAGAGACCCAAGGCTGATTTTATTTTGAAAAAGTACACTCTGCCTGTTTTCTCTTTTGTTGCTTGTGTTTTGCTATCAAATCTAAGAACCCTTTACCAAATATGTGGTCCTGAGAATCTGAGCCAACAGACAATGCAAGCGGCCACACAGAATCCAAGGAGAGACTAAGGTGTACTTCAGTGGTGAAGCATGTGCTCAGTGTGTGCAAGGCCCTGGGGTCACCCCCAGGGCCACATAGATGTATGCATGTATGAAGAGAACTCTGACCCACCATCAGCCACAACCCAGTCAGGAGGCCAACTGCCCTGCAGTAGCTGGCCCAAAGCGACCAGACTCGGTTAATAACTGACAGCTCCTTAATATTCCTGGTCATGGACCCAGGGCCTCCTGCACGCCAGGCAAGCGCTCCACACTGGGCTCTCCCCAGCCCTTCCCTAACCTCCTGGCTCCTGACTCCAGACCAACCAGAGCAAGCCAAGCGTGCTCCTGAGGCGTCCCACAGGAGGCCCAGCCTCCCTGGTGACAGGGTTCACCTGAGCCTCCCCTCTTCTCTGGCTGCCCCCTTGCTGGGCGAGCCCTGAACGCACAGTCTCCAGGCGCGTCACAGCTCCCACCAGTTGGCCTCTACTCCACAGGTGGATCTGGGCCATTTCCAGGGACCTCCTGTGTGTGGCCAAGAAGGCAAGGTCCACTGTCCCTGTGCATGTGGGGCACCTGCTGTCCTGGAGCCCTGGCTCAGCTGTTCTCGCAGTGGAGCGCCTTGGCACCCAGCTGACGGCTGTCTCAGTAAACGACGGCTCGGTGACTGGTAAACCATAGAGTACGTGTGCAGGGCTGCAGCGGTGGGCAGCCCAGGGCCGGCAGGCGGGGCAGGAAACAGGACCGGGTGCTGGCCAGCCCACCACTTCTGCCTGGTTTGACTCCCACAGTGGCACTGCCCTCCGACTTGCCCCCACCCCCTTCCTGCTGGGAACTTTGCCCACAGCCCTGCCCTGTGGTTGGGGCCCCTCCCGCCCCACCTCTGCACCCTGCCCTGCAGGGATGGCTGCCAGGCCACCCCACCAAACCAGACCAGGCACTTCCCTCCCTCCAGGGAGGCTCTGTCCAGGCAGGGCTAGCTTCCATGCTGAAGAGGCTGGGGGACGGGCCAGCTTCCCGGTTGGCCCTGACAACCTGACGTGACGAGGGATTCTGATTCCAGGGCTCCCTGAGATAGTGCGAGCAGGTTTTGTGGGGCCAGGCCTCGCCTTGGCTCTTCCCAGGGGTGAAGAAGCGGCGCCTCCCTCTACCCCACCCGCCGCCCCAGCCAGGCCCCAGCTGCAGACCCGGGAGTGCAGCAGCTTCCTGCCAACCAGGACCCACCAGGCCTCGGCCCAGGGCACCACGCTGGTTCTGTTGCCCACAGGTGGGACCCCGACCAGCGTTAGGAAATGCAGGAGGGCAGTGCTCGCGGATGGCGTCAGGACCGCGAGCCCTGGCTGGGCATCATCACCTGCAGCGATGGCGACTCTGTCCTAAGGTGCAACGTTAGAGACATGCACTGAAGCACTTACGTGACAGGTCAGCAGATCGAAGGGTCTCTCTGTGCTGCCCATCTGGCCTTGAGCTCCTGGGCTCTTCCTGCCTCAGCATCCTGAGTAGCTGGGACCACAGGCCACACTGCTGGAGCCTGACATCCCCTTCCCCTGACAGGCTGAGACTGCACCCCAGTTCCCCAAGCCTGCCCCGCCCCATGGTTCCAGCCCCCACCTCTCAGCTCCCAAAGTCTCCCTGGTCCCTTCTGGGCTTCCCAGACAACTGGGCAGTACCCAGGGCTGGCTAAAGGGGGCACACCCAGAGAGGCCCTCCTGCCCCACTTGGAGCAGCTCACCCAGCCTGGGACCAGCCCAGTGTTCCAGGGTCCCACACCAGCCACCTGCATGCCGGGGCTCACTCCCCGCTTCTCCCTCCTGCTGGTGCTGGGGAGGCTGCCCGACCCCAGTTTCTCTGTCCACGTGTGTTCAGGCAGGGCCAGGTGCCTGCCCCACAAACCAGCGCATCCTCCCGGCACGGTGCAGAGGGGGCCCACCGCCCCTGCCAGTAGTGTGTGTAGGGAAGAGGCATGGAGCAGGTCTCTGTCATTTATTAGGCCCCTGCAGAGCTGCGCCACGGCACCCCTGGATCCACTAGCCCCATCCCGGGCCCAGTGCCAAGGGACCAGGGAGGCAGACCGGCGCCCAACCCCACTTGGGGGAAACAGGCAGCTTTGGTGAGGGTTTTTGGCTACTGGGGGGCTCTGGCGAGTGACCACCTGCCATACAGGGAAGAAAGTCCTGGAGGACACTCTGCAGCACATGGATGTCCCAGCTGCCCCCTCTCTGCCAGTGGGGGCCTGTCTCCAGGCTGCCAGGAGGGGAAGGCGCAGGTGGGCTTGGGCTAACCCCTGAAGGTAGCAGCGGCCTGTTGGTACTGAGAGGTTTTGGCAAAACTGACCAGTAAAGCGGCTGGAGCTGGGTGTGGGGAGGGCCTGGGGCACCAGGGCTGGCATCCTGGAACTGGCCGGTGATCTGGCAGCTGGGCTCCTTTCCCTGTAGCAGGTCTCGGAGGGGCACTACCTCTGAGGACACCAAAACTACAGCCCCCTGGTGACACAAAAGTGCCCATGTCACAGCTGGCAAGCCCTGCCCCACCTGTCACCCAAGGCCTGGGCAGAGGCGACTGGGAGCTGCTCTTCAGGCCCGGGCTGCCACCTAGTGAGCAGGAACAGGGACAGGACCCCTCCCAGCTCCAGCAACTGGAACACCAGGGGACCTGGGGCCGGCCTCAGCCCAGAATCGGCCCCCTGTGGGGGGAGGGGCAGGCTAAACACCCACTGCGGGTGGCAAGGGGCCTGAGCTGGTGGGGCTCAGAGGGGACCAAGCCCCTGGAGGCAGCCCTGGCCCAGGCAGGGTTGGGAGGCCCAGGCAGCCCCAGTGTGGGGGTGGCACAGTGTGGCCCAGGCTGGCAAGGACAGGAGCCTGAGCCTGCCTCTTCCCAAGGGCTGCTCCTGGGGCCAGCCCCGCTGCCCAGCAGCCTGGGGGTCGTCAGGTCAGCACTTTGACACCGAAGTGTTTCCGCAGCTGCTCCAGAAAGACGAAGGTGAGCACAGTGTGCGGGATGAGCCGGACTCCTGCGGGAAAGAGGCCCTGGGCCGAGACAGAGGCGTGAGGCCAGGAGGCCCGTGAGGCCAGGAGGCCCCGCGGCCTGCCACCCCCACGCACCTTGTAAAAGGCCAGTGGTCCAAGCTTCGCGGTCTCCACAGCACAGTGGAAAACACCCTGCAGGAGATGCAGACAGGACAGAGCAGAGGTGAGCCTGGCACTGGCCGGCGTATGGCCCCAGAGCAGCCCGAGGACAGCAGCCCGTGGTTAACAGGGGCTAGAAGCCCAGGGCACCAGGCCCTGCTGTGTGAGCCCTGAAGGGGCTGCTGGCAAAGAGAAGGGGGCCCAGGACAACAGGACAGCGGGGCAGGAGCGGATGCAGCCTGAGACAGGAGGCCCAGCAGGACAGGCCTCATCCCAGGCTGCCTCTGAAGGACACTGATCTGAAAGAAGCCCTCCCCCACCAAGAGAAGGCACAACCCTCCCCCACCCTGGCCAGGGAAAGCCCTGCCTCAGTCCCTCCCATCGCCAGAGGGGACACTGGCCAGCGGCCTCACCTGATACTCCCCCTTGGAGTTCATCAGGCGGGTTTTCAGCACGTCCAGGGGCTGGCACAGGAACGTGGCACATCCACCCTGGGGAGGGGGCTTGTCACCAACTGGCCTGCGGGCACCTCTCATACCCTGGCCCCACTCCAGGAGCTGTCTGGAGGCTGCAGGCTCAGGGACCTCAGGGGACACCAGGACTCATCCTAACAAGTTCCAATGCCCCGGAGCCACTTGTGTGACCCAGAGAGGCAGCACCAGGCTCACCCAGTGCCTCCACCTGCCCACCTCACCTCACAGGGTGCCCTCAGCCCTGGAGGCAGGGCCAGGGACCCCGCCCTTGCTATACCGGGCACTGACCGCAATGAAGCTGGCGATGAAGTGGGTGAAGGTGTTGTCAGACAGGTACCCGGTGCTGAGGACCAGCTGCTTGGCCTGGTCATAGCAGGACAGCTGCAGTGGGGGCAGGGTGGTCAGGGCCCACCACAGCCTCAGCTGGGGAAGGCCGTGACCAAGCACCGGCTCTGCCCACCACCTACGCCAGTGCCACACTGGGGACAGGGAGGCCCAGGCCCAGACCCAGGCTGCAGCCCTGACCACCTGTGCCCACAGGACAGCAGGTGCTCTACGATCCCCCAGGCATGGCAATGGTGAGGGAGGCTGCCCACAAGCCCCACCTTCCACAGGAGCCCTACCTGACCCACGGTGACGAGGGCCCCGCGGCTAGAGGCCATCGTCGCGCCGGAGAACAGCTTCCTCAGACCCTCTGCAGGAGGAAGGCCGGCCCTGAGCACACAGCGCAGCCCGATGCCCACAGCACCCCAGGTCCTGCACACCACTCCCCTCCTCAGGCCCCTTCCCTGGGGTCCCAGGGAGCCGGCTCCTCTCACCTTCACGCGCCACACGGTACAGGCCATCCAGGGCATGGGCATAGCTGCCAGGGACACAGAAATGGACCACCTGAGGCTCACCTTGTCCACTAGCTCCTGGGGGTCCTCCCTAGGCCCTGGGAACTGCTGGGAAACCATGATGGACATGCCCCTGGGGCTCCTGCAGAAGCCTCACGAGGACAGCCCCTCCTAGCTAAGCCACCCTGCCCTGTCTGTCCTGGGGGAGGTCCTGTTTTCCCAGAGAACCCCAGGCTCCGTGTGGCTCCCACCGCAGAGGTCAGCCCCTGCCCTCCTCCAGGCTGGAAGGCCAGAGGGACACCAGCAAGAAACCAGAAACTGCCTGGGAGTCCCGACCAGGGAGCGAGATGGCTCAGGCTCTGGCCAGGGATACTGCAGGCTGGTGGGAAGGACTGGGCTGCTGCAGCAGGAGGGGTGGCTGCACCCGACCCACGTCACCACAGCTGGCCACCCTGAGAGCGGACAGAGACGTGTGCCTGGGAGCCTCTTGGAGGGGTCATGCTTATCTCATGTGCTCTGCTCCAGGGTCTCTGAGGCTCTGGGCCCTGCACACACACCCACAGGGACGCCCGGGTGTGGCTGTCCCTCAGCCACGATCCAGGCTTCCAAGTCCATCCCCAGGTGTGGGCAGGTGTCAGCAGCTGGGGGCCAGCTCTCAACCTAGCAACACTCTTCCCATAAGGAAAGAATGGGGGGGGGGGGGGGCAAGTGACCCCTCTAGCAGCCAAGTATGGTGTTTGCTCCCGAAAAACCATCAGCCCCCAACACCTGTTCCACAGGACCCCACCAGTGATGTGGCCTGCTGGAGTCCTGGCCAGGTGGCGCAGGGCTGCCCAGGGTCCCCTGCCTAGCCCTGGCCCCTGCTGGCAGAGCCTTACCCACTACTCACTTGCGCCGCTGATTCGAGGGCAGCTTCATGTCGTTCTGCATCCTGAAATGGCAGGTAGGTAGACACATGGCCTGAGGTCCAGGGCAGGCCCCGGGGCATTCACGCCCCTCCACCCCATTCCCAGACGCCAGGGTCTGAGTTGCCTGCTCCAGGGTGAGCATACTGCAGACCCCAGCAAGCCACAGGGCAAGCCCTGGGCTGTCCGGGGACAGGAAAGGGTACACACAAACCTGACATTGACCAAATCCGCGGGGGTCCCCACAAAGCCTCCGGTTAAACCTGGGGCAACAGAACCAGGGGGCCACAACTTGTGACGCCTGGAGGCATCCGCCCCAGCCAGCCCCAGCTCAGCCAGCCGCGCTCACCACTGAAGCCGCCCAGCAGCACCTTGGTGGAGAAGGGGAGAGGGCCCTGGCTGCCCCTGGCCAGGTGGTCCCGCGCTGTCTCATAGATGGCAAATCGCGTCAGGGAGTAGGTCATCTGGGGAAGAGGGCCTGGCTCAGGACAGGGCACAACCCAGCCAGCTTCAAAGGCACGGCCAACACCCTGTGGTCCCTGGGGACATGGAGGGGCTGACCCTAGGCCACTCAGCTAGTGAGCGTGGAACCTGTCCACAAATCTGCGGTTGCACCACCCCCACCCACCTCAGCTCCCGCCCACCTCTGTGAGTGGCAGCCTGGGGTCCAGCCCCACACCCACCCTGGGGTCACTTGCTCCACATACACCTTGAAAAAGGCTGTAAGCAGCTTGAGCTCCCTGGTGTGCCCAGCAGGTCCAAGCCCAGGTTGCCCAGGAGGTGCCCACCTGTCTGCAGAGCGAGGCGCTCAGGCCGTTGTAGAGTGCCAGGACACCGTCAGAGCGCACCACCTGCAGCGCCATGCCTGTCATGCGCAGTTTCACCTCCTGCTGTGTCTGCAGGTGCACCTGGGGCAAGGGGGACAGGGACGAGGCTGTGGGGTGCTGCCTGGAGCCCCACTCCAGCGCTGAGGACCCTTCCAGGAATGACCACCGTGAGACCCCCTCAGAGACCCTCAGCTCAGCACTACCCGTGCCCCATCTCTAAGGCAGGGACAGTGGAGTCCCCCAGGGACTGTGTGCAGGGTGTCCCCGCCACACCTACCTGCTCTGATGGCTTATATCCCATGCAGAAGCTGGGGGCCATGGGCCACAGGCCAGCAGCCAGGCCCAGGATCTCACTCCCCAGGTCCCACCCTTGGCACTGACCTCAAGGAAGCCTGTCCACTGCCAAGCATGGTCCCCCTTAAACTTACCCAGGGGAGCCCCCAAAAGGATAGAGGATAGCAAACATGGGTAGGGACCGAGGGGGGCCTGGAACCCAGATCAGCAGCAACACTGGCCTCCCAGGCGGGACAGAGGGACTGGACCCCAGAACAGTGGCCACATGGATAGCAGTCCCCGTTCATGTGACAAGCAACCACAAGGACCAAGCCAGCATGTGGGCAGAGTGAGACAGATCAACAAACTTCAAAACAGTTTCTCAAATGGCCACACCCTGAGGTCCTGGTGAGTAACCCTAGAGGAAAGCTCTGACCATGCTCCCCACTGGTGGGACACTGCTCCTGCCCATCCTTCACACTTCCCTCAATGGCCACCTCCCCTGCTGGCTCCAGGCAGTGTTCTGTAGCAAGAGAGCACCTAGGTGGGGTCAGGGGCAGGGCAGTGACGCCCAAAGGGGCCTGGACAAGGGACAACAGCAAAGGATTCCAAGGTCACAGTCTATCAACACCAGAGGGCTGGTGGGGAGGGGACTGTGGCCATCTGGAAGAGTAGAGAGGGCAGCCCCAGGGAGGTGCCCTTCCAGCCCCACTGCCCCCTGCTGCTCGAGGGCTTCTCCTTGGCCCACAGGCCGGATCCGTGCAGGGGCACACGAGTCAGCCCCATCCGTAAGGGGTGGCCAGCTTTCTTACTGATTAAGAAAGCCCACCTTCTCTTTAGAAAGTAGAAGTCTGCAGGCCCAGCAAGGGCCTGGACACCCAGGCACAGGAACCACCCGGAGGCTGGGTTACCAGCCCAGGTCACAAGGGCCAATCCCAACCAGCTCTGGGAGGAGGGGAGAGGCAGAGGGTGGCCAGGCCCGCTGTACCCTGCCCAGCGGCCACCGCGTGACCACAGGGCAGAGCCCCCTGGGCAGACTGGGTACAGCCTCAGGCCCTTCCTTTGTTCTCTGTTGGGGGTAGGGTCAGAGAAACACCCCTTGGCTGGCCCTGGGGAACAAGGGGAGCTCTGTCTTCTTTTGTTCCATAAGCACTTTTTTCAAAGGAAAAAGTGAAGCATGTATACTTCTGGTGCTGAGACGCCCACTCTGTTGGGAGCTGCACATATGCAGGGTCTCCTGGCATCTCTCCAGGGGCTGCGTTGACCAGACAGCCTTCCCGGGGCCTATACACACCTAGCAGAGGAAGTGCCCAAGCCAAGGGCCCGGGTCACCCACTAACCTAGGCCTCAGCCCTCATTGCCTTTCCCTTCTAGCTCAATACAGTCACCTACCAGGCTGGGGGCAGCCGGGCCCTGGGCCAGGTGTGGGGTGCAGGCAATCTCTAGGACCCAACACCTGTGCATCCCAGACTTTTTTCCCCCGGGTACTGGGGACAGAACCCAGGAGTGCTCTGCCTTGGAGCCGCATTCCCATCCCTCTTTAAAATTTGGGACAGAGTCTTGCTAAGTCACAGAGGCTGGCCCCAAACTTGTGATCCTCCAGCCTCAGCCTCCCAAGTCTCTGGGACCACCCACAAGTGTGTGCCACCGATCACGCTCACGCAGGTATTAAAGCGCAATCTGGACAGTCCCCTGCCAAGACCGGGAGCCGGTTGGCAGGTTGAGGAGCGCGGCCGCCTCTCGAGACCACGGGGCCAGCTGCAGAGGGTCTCCGGGGTTTTTCCACCCGGCCGGCAGGCCCAGGCCCTGGGCGCTGCGCAGGGCGACCGCCGCGCCGGCGCCACTATCCTACAGCTACGACCAACACGGGGTGCGCGGCCAGAGCGTCCCGGCGGCGGCCCGGCCGGCCTCACCTTGAGCAGGTCCAGCGGGTGTGTGCAGCAGGCGGCCCCGCAGGAGGCCAGTCCTCCGAAGTACCAACGCGACACGCGCGCCTCGGCCGCCATGGCCCGATTAGCTGCAGTTCGGCCTGCCCGACCCGGCCAGATCTCGGCCGCTACCGCGACCCCGGCCGCAACCGCCCCGAGCCCGGTTCAAAGTGCCACCGCGCGCCCGCGCCCCGCGCAGCCAATGCGCCCGCGCGGCCCGGGGGCGGGACCTGGGGACTCCGCCCCGGCGAGAGGGCCTGCGAGCCACGTCCCAGCGGGCGGACCCAGCGTCTTAAAGTGGCCGCGGCGAGGAGCCGAGCCTGGGGCTGTCCGACCGAAGTCAAAACCGGGCCCTGACCGAATGACCACCTCCACTCCCTATATCCCGGCTTAAGATGCGGCTTCCAAAATCACTCTGCCATACCACATGCACTGGGAGGCTTGGCCCCTGGAAGCACCCTGGCTTCAGCGCAGCCTGAACTTGCAACCTGCACCACCTGTACCAGCTCATGTGCCACAAAGGCGAGGCCCTCGACCCCCCCCCCCCAGCACCCCTCAACCCGCCCACTGTGGAGGCGGACAGGAAATTTCTTTGGAGCCAGCTTGCAGATGAAGTAAAATCCAGGGGCAAAAACAATTAGTTAAGACAATTGCACCACCCTCAACGTCCAGAGCTCGCAGCAAGTGTCCAGTTCAGGCTTTGCTCTGACAGTCAACCCCAGGCAGCCACCCTGGGGGAGGCTGAGAGGTGGGTTCCAGGCCCCAGCAGGAGAAACCAACCGACATCTAGGCTCCCACCTGACCCCACTTCCTAATAGTGTGAGGAAACAGATGTACTCCTGGTTCAAGGTGCACCTGAGGCAAGGTGAAACCCAAGTCCCAAGGTTGCTTTAGGGGTAAGGCTTGGCCACTAGTGCCACCCTATCCCTGCCCAGACATAAAGGTGAGGCACTGGAAAGAAAGCCCTGGTCTCATGAACCAGCCAAACACCCATATAAGGTGACCCTCCACGTGGATGCAGAGCAAACCCCACCATGCCTATGCTAGTACCCCATGTGAAGATGAGGAGACTGTCTTGTAGAACTCCAGGTGGACTCTGACCCTGCGGTCATGTCCCAGTCAAGCGCTCCTGTGTTTTCAGGTGTGTTGGGAGTACCGCCCACGCAGAGAGGTGTAGGGTGGACAGGGAAGTCACAGGAATTGTCAGGGGGACACCAGATGAGAGTGTGAACTGCGACCCACACCTAGCCAAGGCGGGGAACTGCAAGGAGATGTGGAAACAGATTTCACAGGTAGGACACAGAGTTAAGCAAAGGTGACAGAAGGCCTGGGGCAAGTGGGACCTAGAGACGAGGCATCAGGGCAAACAAATGCACCCAAGACTAGAAGCTCTAAGGTACATGGATTTTGCAAACTCCAGGTGTGCAAGCCCACGAGGATTCTCAACTGAATCCTCCAACAGAACATGTTTGTTCATAGGCTGAGGACTGGCTACCCAGCTAGGCTCTGGACCAGGCCCCGTGTCCACAGCATGGGGTCCAGGTCCCTTGGCACACACTTCAAGGTGCTCTATATGGGATTTGGAGCCATACAGGTGGCTTAGCAGATCCCTGAGCAGGGGGCCTGTGGGGTGGGGTTGGTCAGTTACGGACTTTGCCCTGTCCTGTTAGACCTTTGCCAACCTGAAGAGAAAGATGCTTGTCTGATCTCTTTCAGGACTTGGTGAATCAACCAAGGTTTGGTTCTGAAGAAGGGAGCTCAGAGCACGTTGTGGTGGCTCATGCCTGTAATCCCAGTGGCTCAGGAGGCTGAGACAGGGGGATCCCAAGTTCAAAGCCAGCCTTAGCAAATGTGAGGCACTAAGCAACCCAGTGAGACCCTGTCTCTAAATACAACACAATAGGGTTGAGGATGTGGCTCAGTGGTCGAGTGCACCTCCCCCCAAAAAGAAGGGAACTCAGGATTCCCAGTGCCACCTCCAAATGCTAGGTCCAAAGGTCAAGGCCAAGAGGCCTCCAGGGACGCCTGGGACACACTTCACCAGAAAGTAGTATCACTTTTCTATTTTCAGATACAAGACAGTTCCTTATGGACCACTTACAGTCTGGAGCAGGTGAAAGGGAGCTGGGGAGTCCTGGACTGTGGGCAGCCACTCCAAATGCACACACCTTGGTCCTGATGCACCACGGGGACCTCAAAGATCACTGTAGAGTGGCTGGTAGTGCCGTGACTCGGGACTCCAGCTTTTCCCTTGCTTGGATATCAAGGCATGGCCCTAGGAGCAGGGGACGCTCAGAGGGGTTGAGCTGCACTCACCTGTCCCCTTGTAACCCTAACCCTTGCCTCATTTGAATGGCCTCTCCCCAATAAAAGGGTTCAGCGCCAGCTCCTCTTTGTCTCTTTCCACGGACCCCTAAGGTCAGAGGGGCCATCACAGGACCCAAAGATAAAGGTCTTTCTCTGTCTCTGAGTGGTTATTTCATGCAGCCCAGTTCACTGGAGTGACCCTGAGTGTCTAGCTGTGAACATGACACTGGACAACAAAGGGCCTGATCAAGGAGCCACCTGAAAAGGCCCAGGGTGGTCAGGGGAAGGACACCAGCAGACACAACTTGGAGGGACGAGTACCCGAGTACCTGCTATCAGGGATGGCCCCTGCTGGTGAGGTGGGCTGAGGCTAAGGCATCTCCACCTTCAAGCAGTCACCCTCTGGAAGTCCAGGAGTGAAAGGCCCCCTTATCTGGGCAGGGAGCCACCAGTCCATACTGACTAGACTATGGGCTCAGCTCTCTAAGATGCAGGGGCCTGTCCCTGAGCTGGGACACTCAGTGCCTTCCCCAGGGTCAGCAGCGTGTCTATTTGCACCCAGGCCCAGGGCAGCTCACCTTAGCTGAGGTGAAGCCAGAGACGTGCTGCTGGATACTCATTAACCTGAGGAACTGCCAGGGCCAGAGGGAGACTCCAGGTGGAGGCTGGAGGGCAGCAAGGACACTGAAGGCCCTTGGGAGGGGCCCTCGGGTGATGTTAGGTAGGCTTGACAGAGCCTGTCAGGCACTCCCACCAAGTGGGCAGAGCTGGGTGTGCCTCCCAGGGGCCCCTTGCCTAGCACTATGTTCCCCAAAGGGGGCGCTCTACAATTCTACAGCCTCTTGCTCACAGGAAGTGGAAGTCAGCCTATCTAGGGCCAGAGAAGGACACTCACTGTCCCTCTCCCAGTCTTGCTGAACATGGAATTGTCTGAGAAGAGGAAGCCAAGGGTCCTCAGAGCAAGGCCCCTGGCCATTACAGCCAGCTACACAGCAGAGGCACTAAGGGGCCTGCAGCCAGAGGGTGGGCCAGGCCTGTCCAACAGCAGCCACTCAGTTCCTAGCTTGGCCAGGGTACTGCCAGGCCCCTTAACCCAGGCCTCTTCACACTCAGACATCCTGGTGGAGGGGGCGAAGGGGCAGGACCAGTCCTGGGAAAGTTCCGACCACACCACCCCAGGGGCCCTTCGTACCACCCACCCTGGGCACACTACTCCGCACACCCAAGCCTCAACAGTGTATTTTTCTCAGCAGCCACCAGAAGAACTCCTGTAACCCCATACCTTCTGAGGTGGCCTCCTGCGCTCTGCTCAGGCAGTGGCTTCCCTCCCCCCCACCACAGCAGGTCCATCTTGTCCCTCCCAGACAGACTGCCACTAGGGCCAGTAACTCCAGCCCCCTGGAATCTCCATCTGGGAGCCTGGTGCTGGGGGTGGAGAGGGCAGGCAGGGCCTCGCCGGGTCCCAGGGACCCCAGTCCATAAGTCCTCAGAGGTGGGGCTATTCCAGAACCACTGTGCCGCCCACGGCTTCCAGGGCCGCCTTTATCTTCTCTGCCTCAGCTTTGGCGACGTTAGCTTTGATTTCCTGAGGCAGGGACTCCACCAGCTTCTTGGCCTGCCAGAGACAGACAGCAAAGTCAAGAGATTTGTGAGCCCTAGGCCACCATACCCAAGCCCATGTTGGAAGGGACCACCCCAGATAACTGTCAGCTTATGCTGGTCCCAGGGAAGAGGGTTCAGGCACAGGAAGCTCACCTGGACGAGGTTTATGCCCTGGATGTAGTTCTTGATCTCTTTGATCAGTTTCACTTTGTCTACCGGCTTTGCCTCTGTCAAGCGGACAGTGAAATGTGTCCGTTCTTTCTGTTTTGGGAGATCTTCCTCCTCTGCTACCTTAGGAAGCAGAAGAAAGCAGGCAAGGTAAGAAAGGATGGGGCGAAGGTGGAGCAGCTTCTCCTGGCTACCCCATGGGAAGTGCAGGTGAGCGAGGACAGGCACATTGCCAGCTTCCAGCCCCAGCAAAGTCTGGGTCGTGAGTAAACTGCCTCTGGGGGTCTTGTGACCAACGGATGCATTTCCTCCAGCACAGGCTAGTCAGGGTTTAGACCTGGCTCCTTCACCTAGAAACACTCCATTCCCTATGGGCCACTCTGAAGCCTGCCTCACAGGCCGGCAGAACCCCACATCCCATAAAAAACCTCCTCATGAGACAGGGTGAGCAACACCAAAGTGCACTGTAGATGTGCAAGGTTCCAGGGAAGTAGTACTGGTCCCGTCCTCAGCCATGCAGGGGCAGGTGCCGATGATGAGCTGACTGCATTGACCTCGACCTTCACCCAGCAAGACTATGGGACAGATGGGCAATGGTGTTCCTGAGGTGACACACAAATAGCCAGGGCCACCATGAGCACCACAGTGTGAGATGCCCTAGTTTGGGCCTGCTGCCAGGTCATCAACAGCACTCTGTCCATTCTCAAAATCACTCCAGTTTGGACAATGGATCGTATGACAATCCTACCCTTGCTTTAGGTGTCGGGCCTGAATCTGGCAGTCTTCTGGGTGTTCACAAGTGTTGTTCACAGGGTCGCCAGCAGGCCAGGCAGGTGCTCCACCACCACCTGCACCTCCAGCTAACAAGCCTTTAAAGACACTTCCCAGGTCTGAGGTGGGAGTGTGAGGATGGCCCCCGTGGAATCACCACCCATCCTGAGTGTGGGGTGTTCTGTAGGACCTGGCCTGGTGCAGACCAAGGGACCTGAGGGTAGGGACCCAGATGAAAGAGGCTTATCCCCAAGCCAGCCATCAAAGGCTGGGTTTGGGCTCCTTTCAGAAATACAAACTTGCTCCCAGCTGCCCAGGGGACAGAGCAGCCTGTTACCTGCCCTTTGCCCCCTCTAGCTCCCACTCGCACAGAAAGTCATGCTCTTGCCTGGGAGCCCTCCTATCTGGCCTCTCCTCTGGAGTAGGTGGGGTTAGAGGAATATGTCAACATGGCCGGCTGGGAAGCACACTTGTGACAATTTACCAGTCTCCCAAAAGAGACCAAGACAGGGCGGCCCCCAGGCCTCACCAATCTGTCATCTGAGCTGAGTCTCCCCCTTACCTTCAGGAGTTCATTGAGGTCTGAGATCTCCAGGAATGCTTGGACCTTTTTTTTAACTCCCTTCAATTTTCCATGATGTTCCCTCCTAATCAAGGACTTCCTTGAAATTTTATAAACTTCTTCCCTAGTTTTTTCCATAGCACTTGTCCCATTTTACCAAGTGACACAAACATTCTTGGCAGGGAAGTCCCTGGGTGTGCAGGGAAGCCCACAGTGGGAACCTGCAGAGGTGTAGGGCACAGGGGATGGCAGCTACAGGACCCGAGATAGGACAAGAGAACTGTGCCACATAGTATGAGACAGGAGGTGAGCTGGGCATACAGAAGGCTTTTCTGTCCAGAATCTGGCCTGGCCTTACCTCAGGGGCTGCTGCAGCAGGGAGAGCCCCAGGTATCATGCCACCGGTCGGCATGAGGCCGACATCCTGGATCTTCAAGGTTTTCTGTGGGGACAGAGAACAGTCTCAGTAGATGGCTGTTACACTCCAATTGTACTAATGGGGGGAAAGCCTAGCTTAGTCCTTGGACCTGGGGAAGCACCTCTGGGGATTGAGCCCAGAGCCCTGCACATGCTCTATCACTGAGCCACATCCCCAGCCCTTTTTAAAAATTTAAGACAAAGTCTTGCTAAGTTGCCCAGCCTGGCCTTGAACTTGAGATCCACTTGCCTCAGTTGCTGGAGTAGGTTGGGGGTAGAGGAATATGCCAACATGGCCGGCTGGGAAGCACACTTGTGACAATTTACCAAACTCCCAAAAGAGATCAGAGACAGGGCAGCCCCCAGGCCTCACGAGTCTGTCGTCTGAGCTGAGTCTCCCGGTTACCTTCAGGAGTTCGTTGAGGTCTGAGATCTCCAGGAGCGTGAGGCTGGCGATGTCCTGGACGAGTTGCTGGATCTTGGGCGGGTACTCCTTGGGGGCGTTATCCAGGGGTGCCCCCGCCAGCGCCTCACCCCTTCGGTGGCTGCTGCTCCTCATCTGTCGCACGGCACAGACACCTGGCACCTGTGGTCTAGTCGCCCCATGCAAACAGCGTCAGCTCGGGAAGGGAAGGGGGTGCGCAGACATGCAAGCAGGTCCTCCAACACCGGGGCGGGAGACCACCTCGATCCTTGGGCCCAGCCAGGGGTGGGTGGCTTCCGAGCCACCTCGGGTTCCTCTGGGGAGCCCCCGTTATTTTGTGCAGTGACTCCACCCGGAACGGCGGGCTTCTGGGCGAGCAAACTCCGTCACCTGGCCCAGGCATTTCGTTACAAGAACCCTTCCTGAACGTGGGCCCGCGGCCGGCCGCCACCCACACTGACTGCACCCTGGGGACCGGGACGCCAAGGTCGCCTAGGGCCGAGCGGACCCCGCGGCCAGGCCCAGGAGGGTGGCCGCGCGCCCACCGTCCCCTTGCCCGATCGGCCCCATCGTCCGGCCCAGTGATGGCGCCCAGGGCCCTGCAATACCTGGCGAGACGGAGCGCGGAGGCCCGAAGCCCGAGGGGCGGCCCCCACAGGCGGCGGGCGGCCGCCGGTAGCATCGCTCCGGGAGCGGGAAGGTCACACGCGGCTCTGCGCGGAGGCGACGCTCTAGCCACGAGCAGGCGAGCTGGGCGGCCGCTCTAGCCCAGAGGCCTCCAGGCATTCGAGCTGGGCCGGGCCACTCTAGCCTCAGCGGCCCCGAGATTACCCACAAGGCGGCGCGCTGCGCCGCGCAGGCGCAGACTGCCACTTTTCCCCCCCCCGCAGGAGACCAGGGGAATCGTCCTGCGATCTCCAGGATCCCGTGCCTGACCGCCGGGGTCTTCCGAGAGGTAAGGGACGCCGCATGAGACTCGCCGCAGAGCCCACCCACAGCGGGCCGCAGCTCCTGCGCCGCAACCAAAACCCAGGTTGTTAGCTCCACTTCCGCTATGGCGTTGAAGGTGGGACCTCCAGGAAGGAGGCATAAGGGCTCTTCCCGAGTGGGTCGCCGCTTCTGCACCTGTCGAATGCCCCTGCCACGTGATGCTCTGCGCCGTAGGGACGCCCCAAAGTCCCCACCTACAATAAGGCTAAGGCCTCCCAACTTCCAGAACCGTAAGAAATAAATTGTTTTTACTAACTGTCCGGCCTCAGGAATTTTGCTATAGCCACAGTAAGCACACGGAAGCAGTGCCCAGCTGCCACTGGGGCTGAGCCAGGGCATGTTGGCCACCAAACAGCAAGTACTTTTTGAAATATATTTTATTTTCTGTTCTGCGTTGGAGGACAGCTGAAAAGCAGAGAAGCCAGAGAGCCTGAAGCCCTCACCCTGCTGAGAAGTGGGGAACCAGGCCTGGATAGCTCACTGCCAGCTCAGAGTGAGACCAGAGCGGGTTGCATCAGGGCTAAGGGTCCCCACTCCAGCCACCTCTTGCAGGTTCCAACACACAGAGCTGAGGACTCTCGAGGACGGTCCTTTTCCTACCCCCTCCCGTCCCCGAGGCCCAGCCCTGGGGAAAGAAGTCAGAGACCAAGACAGGACCAAAGCTGGGAGCCAGTGGCAGAAGCCTGGGCTGAGGGCAGGGACGAGGACTGGGGCTAGAAGGGTCACACGAAGCAAGGGAGACAGCTAGTTAGACACAGGTGGTTTCGGTTGAACTGTAGTGTTACTGTGGATGGTCTGAATCTCCAGCCCAGGGTCAGTCGAAGGAGATGAGCTGGGCCTCACTGCCCTGTGCAGGAGGCCCCTGTGCAGGGGGCTGCTGAGCCACAGGGGGCTGCTGCTGGGGAGGGCCACCCGAGGGCGCCATCTGTGGGGCAGGAGAAGAGAGAGACCTGAGCCACAGTTCCCAGGGGCTGCACTGCAGCACAAGGTGGACTGTAGAAGCCGTCAACACGGTGCACGGAGCCCGGGAGCTCCAGCTTTCACACAGCTGCACGGGTCTGCCGTCTACATGTGAACCTGTCTCCTTGGCTTTCATGTCCTCATGTGTCTGAGAGGACCCTAAGCATGACCTTGTCTCCCCACGGGACTGCAGCATAGGATGGCCCTACAGCAGTCAGGCGCTCATCCCTAACCCATCAGGCAACACAGGGGAGGTGGACAGGGAAGGGCTCACCTGCTGGTACACAGGCTGCTGTCCTGTGATGTAGGGCTGCTGGGGTGGCAGGGATGCATCTTGGCTGGGGAGGGTAGTCATAAGGTTCTGTGGAGAGTAAGATGAAGCCAGACACTGGGAGAATAGCACCGTGCCCTGACAGATGTGCGGCCTCTTGGCTTGCAGCAATCTAAAGCCCAACACCAGGAGCGTCCTGCCCAGTGCACCATACCTGCATGTTGTATGGCTGGTAGCCCATGGACACTGACTGGCTTCCCATGTAGCCCATGGTGCCTGGCTGTGGAGGCTGGGAGATGGCTGGGAGGCTCTGCGGGGCCTGGGAGGCCACGTTCTGTGGAAGGAAGTGGTGCAGTGGGAAATGGGCAGGACCTGGGCCCAGCTGGGAGGGGAGCAGTCTTGTCTACTTACCTGGTAGCCTGGGGTGGGAGTGGGCTGGTAGGATGAGTAGGCTGGACTCGCTGTGGGCCCCGCCTGGGCCTGGGGGGCTGCCTGTGCCCCGGGGGCCCCTGCCGGGTACATGTAGGCACTCACCATGCTAGGATCTGTGACAAACAAGATAGATGAGCTGCTTCTGAGGAGTGGCGAGGGCAGGGAGGCTGGACTCCCTTTTCTGAGGTTTTATTTCTTTTTTGGATGGGGATACTGGAGATTGAACCCAGGGGCGCTTCACCACTGAGCCACATCCCCAGCTTTTTTTTTTTTTTTTGAGACAGGGTCTTTGTAAGTTGCTTTGGACCTTGCTAAATTGCTGAGGCTCGTCTTGAACTTGCAATCCTCCTGCCTTAGCCTCCCAAGTCACTGAGATTACAGGTATGTGCCACTATGCCCAGCTCCTTTACACTTTTTGAGACAGGGTCTCACAAAGTTGCCCAGGCTGGCTTTGAACTTGTGATCCTCCTGCCTCAGCCTCTTGAGTGGCTGGGATTACAGGTATGTGTTACTGTGCCTGGCTCTGAGATTTTTTAGAACTTCATTTATCTTCATAATTTCAAAAGAGGACAATAAAGCCAACAAGGATGGGAGATGGTTCTAAAGTGGAATTAAATAAATGAGCCAGACTGTATTTGAAATGAGAGACAGTCACACTGCAGGAGGTAGGGGGAGCTGATCCTAGAGCATTGAGCCCAGAACCTTGACACCCTGACCTCAGGTCACAGACAACAGGAACTACAGATAAACGCTCAACTCTGGCCAGACGTGGCTTTCCCACTGCAGTCCAGCCTTCGTGGGAACAAGCAAATAGATAACTATGTTGAAAACAAAGAAGAAACCCCACACTGTTGGATGGGGGACACTGGGATAAGCTTCTGGTCTCTGTGCAGCATGAGGACGTGTTCACATGCCACACGGCACACACACTTCCAAGTTCATCAGCCAACAGGACTGAGAAGCACAAGCACACCCAGAAGCCAGACCATGGCTTGTAAAGGCCACTCTCCACTAGAAGGAAGCAGGCTGTCCAAGAATGGACAGGTCAAGCAGAGTATGCAGTTGACCTGCCTCAGTCAAAGTCATAGGAGCCAGCCCAGGGCTTCCACAGGCCACCCAAGCTGGTGTGAGCAAAACCAACAGCGATAATGAAGGATTGTCTTCTGAAGGAGGAGCCAGTGAACCCATCTGACATAAAGAACAGAAATGGAGAGGGAAAAGCCCCTCCTTCCACTGGAAAGTCAACGGCACAATTAGGCACTGTCTGCCAAAGGTCAAAAAGAGCCACTGTGATGCACACCTGCAGTCCCAGATACTCAGAGGCTGTGGCAGGAGGATCGCTTGAGCCCAGGAGTTTGTGGCCAGGCCATGTAGCACAACAAGCAATCATACATTCAGGCAAAATTTAGCAAGAACTACTGAGGTGAGGCAAAAAGATTAAGGAGTACAGATATCTGCAGAGTGTTCATCTCCCTCCTCAGACACCTGCCGACGACAGAGGAATAGGCACTGTCTGCAGAGATGCATCCAGAGGCGTCAAGCGGCCATGCTGGGACAAAACAACACACTGTGTCCCCCACCTGACAGCTCCCTCCATGCCAGAAGTGCGGCCCAGAGCACCTTCAGGCAGAACACACCTGCATGGGGCAGTCTGCTCACAGGCCAGGGCCAAACAGCCCATGTCTGAGGGATGAATGTCCTGGAGGAGCCGTACAGGGCCTACATGCAGTGCGTTGTCACTAGCGCCTTCTGTGATGCCCTCCCAGCCTGTGAGCACACGCCCTAGTATCAGTAAACATGTCTGGGTGAAGGTATCGCCTGCCCCTTACTGTCAAGGCAACTGAGGGCGTGCACATGCGGAGGAAGGAAAAAGCAGACGTGAGAAAATGTTCATGTTTAGGAAATCTAAAAAATTATTTGCCTCATTCTCTCAACTTTCTGTTTAAGTTGGGCTAAAATAAAACCTAAAGAAAGCTGTGGTCTGGGGCCACCTCTGCCCTGTGGGTACCTGCCGTGGTGCCAGACATGCTGGGGTAAGGGCTGGCAGCTGGGGCTGCCTGGCTCATGTACACGCTGTGCATGGGGGAACCCTCCACTGAGCCTGCTGGACTGAAGGTGCCAGGGAAGCTGGTCGGGCCCGAAGGTTGGTAGAGCACGCCCCCGGCTGTGGGCATGGCCTGGAGCTGGGGACAAAGAAGACATGGGGTGAGAGAGGGCCTCAGCCAGCGGGGGTGGGGGCAGATGTACATGGGTATAGGGCAGGGGAAAGGTGGGGCGGCACATGCCTGGGCATAGGGCAGGGGGAAGGCAGGCATCTGGGCACGCATCTGGACAGTCTGTTTCTGCTGCTCCAGGCGCATTTGCCGCTCCTTCTCCTGCTCCTGTAGGCGCTGGATGGCCAGCTGCCTCTGCACCTCCAGATACTCCTGTGACAGCCACACGGTGGGCGGGTGTCAGGCAGGCCCAGGACCCCCCCATCCCCACGTGGGGCCAGCCACTGCACCTGCTTCTTCTGCCGCATGATCTCTAGCTTCTGGGCTAGCTGGATCTGGCGCTGGCGCTCAGCCTCTTCAGCTGCCCGGCGTAGTTTCTCGCGGTGTTCCTCACGCAGGGCACTCAGTGCACCCCGGGCATCACGGATCTGTGCCAGCTTGTCCTGTAGCCCCTCATAATACACTGTTGGCAGAGGGTAGGACGGCCCTGACCACTACAGCATAGGGGCAGCCCTGTCAGCATGGGCTCCTGCACTGGTAAATGCTGGGCCCCTGCATTTCCAGCTGATCTCAGCAATCAGCAAGGCCTAGCCCAGCCCACCTCCCTAGGGGCTGCAGGCCCTGGGCTTCTGGGTTGGAGGGGACAGATAGTCCTGTGCTTGGCAGAGTACAGCAAGGCAGAGCCCTTTGCTGCGCTGCGGCCACTTCCCATGGCAGCCCCATGGTGGAGCCCACGGCTTCAGGGAAGGACAGGAGAGGAGCGCTAGCTCTCCTGGGGCAGGCCCTATGTCCAGCAGTGGACAGGGCTGAGCACGCAGCGCTGCTCCAGACACCCCACCACCCGGGAGCTGACAACCCCGAGGTCCAAGGCGCGGGCACCTACACCTGCGCTCATCCAGCTGGTTGAGCAGCTCGAGCAGCTGCGGGTGCATGCTGGTGAGGGACTGGAAGAGTGACAGCACGGCCGAGTCGTTGGTGATGCTGCGGCCCCGCACATGGTTGCTCTTCATGCGGTTGACAAAGGTGGTGACGGCGTTCTGCAGGGCCTTCAGGAACTGCTCGTGGCTCTCTTCTGACCCTCCATTCTGGTACTGCTGTTGGGGACAAGGCAGACAGCTGAGCATGGCCATGATGCTGACTAGGCCAGCCTCCCTTGGGCCAGTCTATAAGGCCTCAGCAAACCCCCTGCGGAGGTGGCACACGGGCATCTGGACAATGCCTGTTGTGCTCAGAGCCTGGAGCAGACCATTAATTGGGTCTCCAATCTGCTCCACCAGGCAGGCACCATTAGCATCCCTGGTCTACAGACAAAGCAATGAGGCCCAAGGTTGGGCTTCTGTCCACCTGCTCAGGGACAGTCAGGTTGGAGCTGGCTGGGAGCCCCTGCCCTGGTAACACGGGCCTGGTCTGACTCAAGGCAGACAAAGCCCAGAAGCCCCAAGGAGAGGGAGGAACTCCTCTGGGTAGGCCTGGGCTGCTCAGAATATGGGGTTCATGTTAAGTCCACACAGAGTAGACAGGTTCTCTTCTGAGAAGCCACATAGGCATAGCACGGCAGGGTCAGAGCTGATATTGGGACTGCCGGTTACAATGGGCCCTGGAGGGAGGCATAACTTACCTCACTAAAGGGGCCACTAGAGGGAGTTATGGGCTGAGAATCTGTCTCCGGAAGGGGAGCCTGTAAGAGACCAGAGGGTTAAGGGGGCCTCCATGCAGCCTGCCCTGGACACAACCCCCCGGAGTCAGGCACCAGGAGTGCAGAGTGGCCTCTCACCTCAGCCACACCGGCAGGGGCTGCATGCCCCTCCCCAGGCTGGGTGGCTGGCTCCGTTAGGGGCACAGGCGCAGATGGCGTGGGGCTCTTCCGAGCCTCCTCTTGCTTCTTCTCCCAGTAATTCCGGTTAAGGTACCGCGCAAGCTGCATGGCAATAAGGGGGTCACTTTCATAGTCTGGCAAGTGTGAGAGGACAGCATGAGATGCAGGGCCCTTACCTCAGGGTCGATGTCTTCAGCCAGCGGTGCTGATGAGTTCTGGGGAGACAAAGAGAGGCCTGAGGGGTCACAGCCAAGAGGAGTAGCACACGGCTCCCAAGTGACCCAGGCAGGGGCCTGGGTGGTGCCACATGGCCCTGAGTCCCCATGCCATGCCTGCTTGGTGCTGATAGCCATGGCTTTACAGGCTCCCCGTGGTACAGGCGCCAGGGCCACCCTCTCCTCTCTGGGGTGGCACCACCTTAAAGTCTTAGAAAGGCTCTGACATTGCCACCACTGGGCTCTGCAACATTGCTAGAAGCAGCACAAGTGACACCTAGCTGGCACTCCCATTAATTCCCAGGGCCAGGCCAGAACAGGGACAGCCCACTTGGCCCTCACACAGCACTGCCTGGGCCCTGCCGACAGCAGGAAGGAGGAAGCGCCACAGCCGGCCAGTGGTAGGGTTGCTCCTGGCCCAGAGGCCCAGCTGTGGCCCAGACCCATCAGAGCCCAAAGCTTGCACGTGACTTCCCTGACCTGCTGCAGCCTGCCTGATGAAGAGTGAGGCTTGGCCAGAGGAGCAAGGTGGCCCTGTGACCAAGGGCTTTAATGCTTGAGGGTGCACAGGTGTGTGAAGGGACAGGGTCTAACCTGCGGGGCCTTTGTTCATATCCTCAGCCCCCACAGGGAAGCCCCGAGCCAGGACAGCCAGGCCCTTGGTGTCCTCCCACCTGCCTCCCACCTCCCATAAGCAGCATCAAGCCACCTGGCTGGGCACACAGCAGACTCACCACGGGTGAAGAGTACAGGCTGCCAGCTGGGGGTGCCGACGACGCCAGCGGGGTGGGATCTGCCTTGGGATGTGCGCTGTATGTTGACTTCTGTCTCTGAAGCAGAATGGGGAAACAGTGTCACTGGGCGAGCACAAGGCACAGCAAGAGAGGTGGGCACTGCACACACCTGTGGCCCCCAGGCACAGTGCGGGGCACTGCCTAGCACCTCCAGGGAAACTGGGGGTCCCCTCCTGAAGGCTGACTCCCACCACTCACCAGCCTCTCCTTCTCCTCCGCCTCTGACTGCGACAGGGCCAGTGCCAGCTGCAGCTCCTCCTCCTCCTGCAGAGCAGTCTCATCCCGCTTAGGGGGTAGCTGAGGACAGCAGGGCAGGTGAGGGAGGCCCACGGGAGGGGCATGCTGGGGACTGTGGGGGGACTGGGTACCTGCGACTGCTGTGACAGGGGGCTGGTCAGGTACTCCGGGGGCAGCTCAGTGGTAGAGGTGGACTTTCCTTCTGCTTTCCTGGAGGCAAGATGGGATGCTACAGGTAACTGTCCCCTGACACCTGCCCCATCCCCACCAAAGTTGTCAACCACCCAGAGCTTCCTACACACTATTCCCATGAAGTGAGGACAGGGATCCCACAGGCACATGTAGCCCAAAGGCCATGCTCCAGGGAACAGTAGGAGCAGCTGTGGACCCTGAGCCAGCCACAGGGCACCAGTAGGCGTAAGCCATAGTCCCTCTCCTGGAAATGGTGACTCAAAATCCCACCTGGCCAGAACACCTGGAACTGCCCTCGGTGTCCTACCTGTGACCAGCAGCAGGCCTCATCCCCAGCAGGTTCTAGGAAAGGCTGCAAGACCTTTCATGATCACAGAGCCAGACCAGGCCTTTTCTAGAATTCGACCTGGAGCATGCAGACCTTCTCCAGAGCAAGTGGTGGCTGAGGGCCACAGACTTGCAGTGCATTCAGAATTCCCACAGCAAGGGCTGGGGTTGTGGCTCAGTGGTACAGCGCTTGCCTCGCATGGGTGAGGCACTGGGTTCAATTCTTAGCACCACATAAAATAAATAAATAAAGTAAAGGTGTTGAGTCTGTCTGCAACTAAAAAAATTAAAAAAAAATAAGATAAAGAATTCCAACAGCACGTGCAGACCCCTCTCCAGAGCGAGCAGGTCCATGTGGACCAGAGAGGGGAGGAGAGGGAAGGGTGAGCAGAGTCAGACAAGTGTGGAGCCCTGAGCCCTCCAGTAGAGGACACTGGCCGGGCTCATGTGGGCTCTTGCCAGTCACAAGGTAACAGAGCTTTCCAGGTGTCGTGCTTGGGTCTGAACTGTCCCCAGAGACTGCTGTGCTGAAGGCTTGGGCCCCATGCAGCAGTGACCAGATCTAGGGGCTCTTACCTCATCAATGGATTAACCCATTTAGAGTCCATATTTCTCCTGTGTGTCAGAGCTGGGGACTGAATCAAGGTTCTCCAACACTGAGCTACTAGCCTGGAATTTGAGAGCCTCCTGCCTCAGCCTCCCAAGCTGCAGGCATTACAGGTGTGTGCAACTGTGTCTGGCTGGATTCACAATTTAACAGGCTATTGGGAGATGGTGGAAACTTTAGCAGGTGAGGCCCAGGAGGAGGATTTCTGTCCCCAATTACTTTCTCTCTCTCTGCTTCCTAGTTGCCATGAGGTGAGCAGCTTTGCTCCACCTCATGCTCCCTACCAGGCTGCTCTGTCACACAAGCCCAAGACAATGGAGCTGGCCATCATGGACTCAATCTCTAAAACCCTGAGCCAAAATACATCTTCCCTAAGTTGGTTTTTTTCCTCAGGAATTTTGTCACAGTGGCGGAAACCCGACAAACACGGGGAGCGATCTCCAGATCCAACACACCAAGTGTCAAGGTCCACAGGACCGGGGGCAGACTCAGACAGGGTCTCCACCTCATTCCTGGGGTTCCTGCCAAAAATGCAGGTCCTGGCCAGGCACAGTAGCACATGCCTATAAGTGACTAGGAGAGTTGAGACAGGAGCCTCCAAGCCCAAGGCCAGCTTGGGCAATGGAGCATGATGCTGCCTCAAAACAAAAAGGGAGGATGTAGCTCAGTAGTTGAACAATCTTGGGTTCAACCCCCAGAATCACCAAAAAACAAAACAAAAAACCTATAGACCCTGAGCAGAAAGTAAACTCAGACCCAGAGACGTGAGACAGGCCCCGATGGCTGGCACTGCAGAAGTATCTGTGTCAGGCACAGCAGAGGCTGAAAGTTCCAGGTCAGGGGTGGGGAGGTACAAGGACACATGGAGTGTGCTCTGTGGGCACCAGTGGTGCTTTCAGGGTGATGGCAAAACTGAACCACCTCAGCAGAGCAGGTTTAGTGCCACAGCAAGGTCAGATGTCCCCACTGAGAGCAAGGCTGACCTGCCTCAGAGAAAATCCTCCTCAGGAGACATGTGGGAGCGCTTAGGTACAAAGGGACACGTGGGCCACAATTCACTGCAGATATGTGAACACGTGCACACACAAGGAACGGGAGGGAGGGAGAACACAGGCTGCACAGACCTGGCCATGAGCCCACAGCCGAGGAACACAGGCAAAGGCACCTGCCCCCCCCCCCCCCCCCCCCCGAGTTCTTCTGAGTACACCTGCAACTTTTCGCCACACCTACAACTTTTCTAAGTTTTATCCCCAAAAGTTGAAGTACAAATAAACCAAAAACAAAAATAAGCAACTGGCCTGCTGGGGTAGTGTCAGGCGGCTCTGGGGCCCCGCCTGCCCACCTGGCCTAGGGCCTGCCCCTCCCGCCCTCTGGCTGGCATTCCCTGTCCACCTAGGCCTTGAGCTGGGACACTCAGCCAGAGGCGGGCAGACAGCCTGCAGAGCCCATGAGGGGACTCACTTGTTCAGCTGCTCGTAGCAGGGCTCGCAAACGCGCACCTCCTTCTCAATGCCGAACTTGGGGATGGTGGAGTACTTGGAGGAGCACTTGCCGCAGAAGATCTGTCCGCATGCCCGGCAGTGGTGCTGCGAGTAGGGTGGGGCAGGCCTGGTTATAGGGCTGGGGCATCTGCCACACCAACTGGCCAGAACCACCCTGGACAACACTGAGGCTGGGCCTCAGTCTGGGAGCAGAGAAGAGATAAGGACAAGCAAAACAAATGCCTGGGAGAACATGAAGCCCCTGGAGAAACATTTTCAAGAGACTCAACTTCAGTCACAAGTTTGGGGAATATAAGGGGAATTAAAAACAAAGGTCAGCCAGGAGAGGTGGTGCATTCCTGTAATCGCAGCGGCTCGGGAGGCTGAGGCAGAAGGATCCTGAGTTTAAAGCCAGCCTCAGCAACAGTGAGGCACTAAGCAACTCAGTGAGACCCTGTCTCTAAGTAAACTACAAAATAGAGCTGGGGATGTGACCAAGTGCCTCTGAGTTAAAAAAAAAAAAAATCCCCAAAGTCAACAGAAAGGGTGCAGGGATCCTGAGGAACAGGAGCTCTGAGTGCAGCATGTTGCTCCAGGATGGCTACTCAGACCTCTGCACCCCTCAGGCCAGCCTCAGGGGTCTTGTGGGAAGGGAGAACACAGCCTCACGTAGCAGAGTGCACATGGGCTGTCACCTGAAGCACTGAGTCAGTCACTCAGCCCTGGCCAGGTCTGTAGCTCTAGGCCTAAGCCTTCTATAAGGCCAACTTTGGCTGAGGGCACTGACCATCTACTACATGGCTGCCAAAACCACCACATTTCAGCAGAAAGGACAGGACTGTGACAATGGGGCAGTGGCTTCAGTGATGACAGGTGACCCGATGTCTGTCCGGCTATGTGAGAAGTTAGCAGGGGCTCGGCCACAGGGCCCCTTTACCCCTTAGGGCAGGCACTCACCTTGCGGGTCACCACCCCGAATTGCACTCTGCACCGGTGGCATTCCTCAGCATCCACCCAATCAGGTGCCTATGAGGACAGCAAAACTTAGGACCACACCCCCAGTCCCCACCAAGCTCCCAGAGGTGGCAGAGCCTTCCCCCAGGTCCCACGGACAGGAAAGGAACAAAAGATCTGTGTGGCCAGAGCAGCTGCACCAGTCTGACCCCTCCTAGTGGCCCGAGCCACAGGGCCCAGGGCTGAGCTGCTTCAGATAGGAAGCCCCCAATTGGATAAAGGTATGGCAGTGACACTTCCCACAGGTTTCCAGCTCTCCTAATATGTTTTCTCTTCTTCTCTGCAGAGCTGGAGATGGTACCAGGGCTTTGTGCATGGAAGGGAGCACTCTCCCACTGAGCTCATCCTGTGCCCTGCGCATTTATGTTAAGTACCCAACAGCTACATTCCAATTACACCATGAACACAGCCCCGTCCCCACCTCATCTTGCAGAGTCACAGCCACATCTTGTCCTCAAGGAATGCCTATATTCCCAGCTCTGGCCCACCCACGCCCAAACAAGACGGAGAGGCCTTCCCTGCCTGGCCGTGCCCCTGCCCGCTTCCTCAACTCCAAGCCCTGGCCATGCCCCGCCCAGGACTCACTCTCTCCGCAGCAAACATGGCATCACTTTCCTTGAATTCCGGGAAAACGTGTCCTGAGAAAGGAGACTGCAGTCACCTTCAGGTCCCACCCTGATTTAGCTGCTTTCTGACTCCTGACATCCGTTTCTTCAGACAAAACCACCAGAAGACGCCCAAAGCCCTCAGAACCCTGAGCCCAGCTAACACCTCTACATGTATTCTCAAACCACTGCCCCGCTCTCCAGGGCCACAACAGCCAGAGCGATGGAGCCGAGGGGCCCTGACACACCTCAGCAGCCACAGCCCAACCTGAACCCCACCAGTGACTTGCTGCCATACACAGGGCCATGACCAATCCTGGCCTAGCTCTCCTCTGGGTATGTGTCACCTTTCTATCCTTCAGTAGCCAAGTGAGCTGTGACCCCAGGGCCTCAGAAGCCAGTAGTTTTTGTTTCCCTATTATGCCCAGTCTCGGCACCTAGGGCAGCCGCCTACAAGGTCTTCCTTGGCCACTCATCCAGCACTGCCCCCCAGGACACATCACTTCCCAAAATGCAGTTGTCTTTTTATCCTGGGGTGGTATGTCCAGAAGGCAGGAGCTTGTGGAAGCCCACTCTCCCTCCATGGGGGCTCTCTGTGGAGTTCCCAGAACACCATCCTCCTTGCTTCCAATGTCAGCCACTCAGTGAGGACTGGCCTATCCTCTTTTGCCCTGCATCTATGGGTCCAGCTGGTTTGACTCTGCCCAGGAGGGTAGCCCTGTGGCTTCTGGAGCAATGTTTCCGCCTTAGACGGGATCCCATCCCCCTGCCCCAACTCACCCTCCACCTTCATGATCTGGTAGGTGTCCTGGACCACTTTGTACTTGGGCTCGTTCCGGAAGGCATGGGCCCAGGCTTGGATCAGGTACAGGATCTTGTTGCGGACATTCACTTCCACTTGCCTCTGTAAGGCAGGGAGGAGTGGGGAAGGTCTTAGGATATTCGCGCTGCCACAGGTCTCAGCGAGAGGAGGTAGCTGCCCTGAGCAGACAGGACTGGCATAGAGGTGGCGGGGGGTCTGGGTGAGATGTACAGGACAGGCACCATCCTGTGCCCAGGTTCCCTGAGCAAACACTTGCTCAGGCCATGACTCTTTAAACCCTATAAGGAGCCAAGGGACTCCCTGGAGCTAAAATGCCCCAAGTCTGAGAGCCTATAGCTGAATGTCTCCTTCCCTCTCCCCACAGACCCAGACTAGCCATGGAAGTCACTGGCTCCTAACAGTCTCAAACAGCTAGAGTCAACTAGGCCCAGCCACGAAGTATTGCCTCAGGACCAAGGATAGAGGCTGCTCTTGCTTCCAGTCACAGCCTGGGAAATGCAGCAGGCATTGCCCAGGAAACTTCTCCACACACAGTAGAGAGACACCATCTCCACTCAGTGAGCACACAGCCAGGCCTCAAGTCTGGTGCTCTCTCAGGGAGGCTGTGACATCTGACACTGAGGACAAAGGATAGAAAGCTGCTTCCAGGAGACACAGTGACAGTATCCACACTGGGACTCAAATATCTCTCCACAACCTGGTCCTCCAGCAGCCACTCCCTCCCCATCACCACCCTGACTCCCCAGTAGAGGGGCAGACCAGCAGAGGACCCCCACAGTACAAACAGAACACAGCAGCCACATGAGGACACCTCCCCTCCTCCAACCAGGACCACATAAGAAACTGGCCAAGGTACAGTAACGGCCTCACAAAAGCCCAGCTGTCATCTTGGACATGCAGGTGAGCTCTGGGAAGCATGGGTCCAGGATGGGGTCTCCTATGAGACAAGGCCAGGCCCTGGGTCACAGCAGAGGAAGAGCAGCCTTACCTTGGTGGGATGTCCTTTCGCCTCAAACAACAGCCATATCACCCCCACTCTGCATCACTATCCACATCACAATCCCTTCAGGTGGGCCTGGGGACAACCTCCCAGGGGTCTGAAAAACTTTCCCTTCTCTCCCAAAGGGGGGTATGAAACCCACCCTCTCCAGGGAGCTCCTTCCACTGCTGTCTGCCCTTCTGATTCTCCCCTAGACACAGCTACACACCTGTGTCCCCTGCTCAGATCTCCCCATCTCCACATGGCTGCCGTCCCAAGCCTCCTCTCCAGGATTCTGCTCATACAAAGCACCACCACCATCGCTGCCATTCAAGACTCAGCCCCACGCCCTGGCTCTGACAGGCCTCCCCTGGCACCTCAAGAAAACCAGGAGTCAGCCCTGTGCTCCGGACACGACTGGACTTCAATCCAGAGCCTGTGTCTTCCCAGGTCTGAGCCTAAGTGCGAGCAGTACTGGGACCGCCACTGCTCGCTTCACACCTGCTGCTGCACCCAGTGCTGTCCCTGTCATAGATGCCCAGTAAGCACCAGGAAAAGTGGAGTGACCTGCCCCCAACCCTGACTCATGGTTCCTGGGGACGCCTACCTTCAGCAGCTCCTTCAACTCTTCCATGGTCTGCTTGTTAGCTACCTCGTCATGAACTGTCTGGCCACAGTTCTTTACCACAGATTCCATGACCTGCAGACCCCAAGAAAGGGAAAGGTCAGGCCAATGATCAAGGCAGTGTCCCCTCCTCTTCCTGGATGTACCCACCTCCCCATGGGAATGCAGGCCTCCAAAAGGCCTCTCAGACCACCCAGCCTGCCAGGAACCTTAAGCGGCAGCTTCACAGACAGGCAGCAAACCCACATACCATGACCCCTACAATATCATGGCTTGCAGCCACGAAGTGAAATTGAGAGCTGACCCTCAGGGCTCATGTACCAACTACAGCCAGAGTACCAGTGGCATCATTTCTTCCCCTGTCACCCCTCAGGGTGACCAAGCTCAGTGACACTGCACACAACTGCACTCAAGGCTAGAAAGGACTTCACCTGTTGCTGTGTGCCCAGAAAGGGGACAAGGCTGCCTGATGCTGGGGGTGGGGACCCTCAAGGCTGAAGGCCAGAGAATAGCAGCAAGGGTCTAGTTACCTCCAGGGCATACAAGGCTACATGTGGATTTTTATCATTGACTTTCTTCTTGATGGAATTTACAGCATACTTTGCTCTGAAACAAAAAGACCATAGGTAGCAACAGAGAGGCGGGGGGGGGGGGGGGGGGGGGGCCCCCAAAACTAAAAGGTGGTGGGTGGGGATTCGCATACCCGTGACGATTAGAAACAAGAAAAAAAAAACACAA